AGCGGGAGCGGGAGCCGGAGCCGGAGCCGGAGCCGGAGCGGGAGCGGGAGCCGGAGCCGGAGCCGGAGCCGCCGCAGGAGCCCCGGCTGCGGCGGCCCGCATCGGGGTGGTGGATGCGGATGAGGAGATCGCGGCGGCTTTGGCGGCCGGGGAGGTGGATGCGGAGGTGGATGCGGAGGTGGGCGGGGGCGCGGAGGGGAACCCAGACTTTCCCATGGCCTCGCTGTACGTGGGCGACCTGCACCCTGAGGTGACGGAGGCGATGCTGTACGAGAAGTTCAGCCCCGCGGGGCCCATCCTGTCCATCCGCATCTGCAGGGACAAGATCACCCACCGCTCCTTGGGCTACGCTTATGTCAACTACCAGCAACCGGTGGACGCCAAGCGGGCCCTGGAGACGCTGAACTTTGACGAGATCAAAGGCAGGCCCGTGCGCATCATGTGGTCCCAGAGGGACCCCTCGCTCCGCAAGAGCGGGGTGGGCAACGTGTTCATCAAGAACCTGGGCAAGACTATCGACAACAAGGCTCTGTACAACATCTTCTCGGTGTTCGGCAACATCCTGTCCTGCAAAGTGGCCTGCGACGAGAAGGGGCCCAAGGGCTACGGGTTTGTGCATTTCCAGAAGCAGGAGTCCGCGGAGCGGGCCATAGATGCCATGAATGGCATGTTCCTCAACTACCGCAAAATTTTCGTCGGGAGATTCAAGTCGCATAAAGAGAGAGAGGCCGAAAGGGGGGCCTGGGCCAGGCAGTCCACCAGTGCTGACTGCAAGGAATTTGACGACGACACCGACGAGGAGGCCACCTTCCGATGAAGACGTCCCTGGAGCAAGCCAGCAGAGCCAGATCTTGGCTCCTATCCGGTTTACAACTCCCCCCACCCCAACCCACCAGCAGTGTATTGTACTGGGAGTGCAGGTCTCTCTCTTTCCCTCCCCATCCCTGGCCCTGGCCCTGGCCCTCTCCCCCTCCCCCTCCCCCTCTTCCTCCCTGTGGCCCTCTCTTCCTCTTTCCCTCCCCCTCCCCTCCCTTCTCCTTAGCCTTCTCCCTCCCTCCCTCTGTCCCTCTCTCTCTCCCCCTTCCCTCTCCCCCTCCCCTTCCCCTCTCCCCCTCTCCTCCCCTCCCCTGCCCTCTTCCTCTGCTCTTCTCCCTCCTTCCTACCCTGTCTGCCCCCCCTCTATCCCTCCCTCTGCCTTCCTTGCCCCCGTTCCCTTTTTCCTCCTCCTCCTCTCCTCTTCTTCTCCATCCCTTCCTCTTCTCTCTGCCCCCTCCGAGGGTGTTGTGAATAATCCTACTAATCTGTGCCATTCGACTAGGTTAAAGGCTCCCTCTTCTCCCTGTGGTTTGGTTCTTAAAAGCGTTTTCTTTCTTCTCTTTGTTTACTGCACAGGTGATTCAATCTCATGGTAGAAATATCAGAAAGGAGAAGGAAATCAGATGAGAGCAAGCCAAGAGAGTAATTGCGCCTCATGATCTTAAACCAGAAAGAACCACTTGTACCTTTTTGGTGTGCTGTTTTGCCAGGCTCTCTTCTCTCCCTCTCCCGCCCCCCACCCCACCTTCCCTTTAGCATACTGTTGTAGAATGGTTCATGTATGTGGTGTTTCTTGACCTGCTTTTTTTCAGCAACGAAAACCAAACTAAAACCAACCCGCTGAACTCCTTTCCGTGATATTCAACAGGCTTATTATGAAACATCATCTTCAGTGCCTGCAGAGTGCTCCTGTGTATCTATGGACCTTGATGTTTCTGTAATCATTCCCGCATTGTTGGACATTCAGGTGGTGCCTAGTTCTTTCCCTGTGTTTAAAAACAGCACTGTGTGCTCTGACGAGTGAATCCTTCCCTCTCAAGCCAAATCTCTGCTAGCGTCCTGGATGGTCTCCTGAACTGTGGACTTGCCCAATCTACAGAGGGGCGTTGCAAAGACTTTTCCTGTGTGTTCCCAAAAGGCCCCCTTCACAAGCGTTGTTCCGATTTGCGCTCATGCCACCCAGCACAGCTAGTAAAAAGAGTATAGCCACTTCCCCTACCTTGTCTCCTGCTCACTGTAACTGGGGTGTGTCTGTGCGTGTGCGAGTGCGTGTGTGTGCCTGTGTGTGTGCGTGTGCGACTTGGCCAGCTTCATGGGTTGCAAAGTGGTAATTCACTGTCATTGGTTGTTTTACTGGAACAGTGAGCACTGTTAATCACTCCTTGCTCCAGTGCTCACTTCCTGTCCTTTTCCTCATTGCCAGAAACGTAAGTCGCTGTCATTGCAGGAAAACAACAACAACAAATTTCACAAAGCAGACAAGTTAACAGAAGAAAGTTAAAATCATCAGTTGTCAATTTTAATGTCTACCCATGTCTTCCTAAAACATGTTCATCTGCAGTTGTCTAGTATTTTGAAGAACTACCTGAAACATTTTGGCTTTTGGTCCAGTATTTTTATGCATATGTCATTTATGTATATTGAAATGTACATACTGTTTTTATAGCTGCTCTTCATGCATAAATATGTGGGGTATGTATACATGCGTACTCTTGATGTTTATTTCATGTCAATAAAGATACTTTAAAAACATTTTCTCTGACTATTAATATTCAGTTGAATTCTTAACAACTTATAGAAATAGATGTACACATATATCCATTTCATTGTCTTTAAGTTTGTATATGTTTTAAATTTTTACTCATTTAAAAATATGTTGGTTGTATATTAATTTTAAATACAAGCCAAACTTTTTAAGGTCACAGTGCAGATATTTTATTGACATTCAGGTTATTTTCTTGAGCATCATTTGCTAAAAGAATATTTAAAGCATTAATGTGAGTTATTTGGTTCTTTTTCAACAGAGACATGTGCATCATTAAGTGGCCATCCATGTATAGTACAAGTTTTACTTTATGATATTTGCTTGTGAGAAGATTTGCATAGTTTGGTTAGTATCTGCACTTGGTATTGCAGTAATCTCTGCTCTTTGCCATATTTTATTTAGGTAACATTTTGTGGTTCATATATATATACACATATATAGGATATATATTATAACGATTATCAGAAAACATGTTTTGAAGATCTTAATATTACAAATATTAGCCAGAATCTTAATACTATTCCTAATATCTCTACTTGAAAACATGTTTTAAATAAGTATCTATATGTCTTTATTTCATAATATGATATACATTGTTTCATTGGGCAGTATTTTCAGAAAAGCAGTTCATTATTTCTAACAATTATGTTTGTTTCATAAGTTTTCTTCACAAGAATGAACTATCATTTATACCAACAATCATTTTGTTGTAAGTTTAAAATGGTTTTACTTTTTTCCTGCAAGAATAATACTGTGAAGAATGTCTCTATTCCTGAATATCAAGGAATGTTTCTTGTGTTTTTCTTCCTTTCTAGTAGAATTCCATTGTGGTAGACATGGACATGGACATTTCCAATCTTTTCCTTGATGTGTTGTGAAATGTTTCTCCTTTTAAAGTTTACATCCTCCAGTAATGTAGAAAAGTGTATGTATCTGTGCTCATCTTACTAAATTGGTCAAAATTATTTTTTAAGCTTTAGAAAATCAAAATGGGTTATAGTTTTTATTATATTATTGTGGAAATAATTTAAAGAAAGTGAAATAGCACATTAAAATATAGGTAAGAATTTTTTCACATATTCTATGTATTATTTATTATTCATAATATTTTCTTATTTATTATTCATAATATTTTATTATTATTTATTATTTATAATATTATATTATTCATAATAATTTTATGAATAATAAAATTTGTTATTCATAATAATTTTGACACAATTATATAATGTCCTAAATATATTTATCATAATTTATTTTTAATGTAGATTAAATATACCTAAAATACTTGTGGCTATTCATGCTTCTCCTGCGATTAATTATCATTGTATGTGACTAGATTTTTTTTTCAGGAATCTCCCCTTTTTGCATACTAAAATAACTCCATTAGTCTCAAATCTAAGGTGGATGATTTTGTAGCTGAATTGTTCCCCTGTTCTTGGTAAAAGTATTTAATATTTCTTTGCTTACACAAGGGGTGTATTAATGCTTAAAAATCAAGATGTGTCAGAAATATTCATTGAAAAAACCAAAAAGGCCATTTTTAAGAAGCCACGTAGAATTTAAACTCAAACTCCATAAAGCTAATAAAAGAAACCTGTGCCTCAGTAGAATAACAAGCTAATCTATGCTATTTAATACTATTGTAGAGACAAAGAATTTGACAAAGATTCAAATTTGAAAAAGATTGAAATATCAAGAAGCTTTTGTTTTAATAATATATTCTTAATTTTTGAGACTAGATCTCATTGTGTAGCTCAGGTTGGCCTTGAATTCATGATCATTCTGCATTAACTTCCTGAGTGGGAGGTTTTACAGGTGTGCAGCACTATGTCTTTCATGGTGTGTTCTTTTAGGATATGGATTAGTATTATTCTTCATAGAAATTATCTTAAAATATATCTGTTGTTTTTTTAGTCTGCCACATAAGAAATGCAAAAATAACCCACCATGCAGAAGGATCCATGTTCAGCACAAGGAAAGATATAGACTCAGCTTTGATGCAGGCAGGATAAAGCCCCTCTCATCATTACTGGGAAAATAATGTGAAAGAAAGAAGGGGAGGATCAAGTGAAGTTGTCAATTTCTATGAAGAAGCCATCTAGGGTTCTGAAAGAGCATATGTGAAATCTATCTATCTATCTATCTATATATCTATCTAACTTAGTATTTCTTTTCTAATTCATGAATGTGGTTTATTTTTCCTTTTATATAGATTTTCTTTCAACAATGCTTTGTAGTCTTTAGAGTAGCAGTTTACATTTATTATGTTAGATTTTTTAAGTATTTAACTTTGTGATGCCATCCAATATAGAATTCATTTCTGGTTTCTTCTTTGCTTTATTCACTGTGTAGAATTAATACATTTTTGTAAATTAATCTTGTATTCTGAAATATTGCTGACAGTAGTTGTAATATATTTTAATTGATTCTTTAGGATTTTATACGTAAAGATCATGCCATTAGTAGGCTGAGATAATCAAAGTAGTAAGGTTATGTATAAAAGATAGACATATAGGCCAATGAAACAGAAATGCCATAAACTGATACATATAAAGTCAAATAATCTTTATCAAAGGTATAAAGAATTAAAATAGGGAATGGAAATTCTCTTTAATAAATGGTATTGGAAAACTGGATATCCAAAAACGAATGAAAGAAAGAAAGAAGGAAAGAAAGAAAGAAAGAAAAAGAAAGAAAGGGAAATTTGATTTATATGTTACAGTACAGACAAAAATTGACTAAGATGAATCAAGGATTTAAGTGTTAGACTTGAGTCTGTAAAACTAAAGACAGGAGAAAAGCTTCATGTTATTGGTGTTGCACTACTTAAGTAAATGTGATAACAAAGGCACAGGCACAAAAGCAAAGCATTGATCAAAAACATTTCTTTTCACCAAAGGAAACAATCAAAAAAATCAAAAGGCAAACCATGAAATGGGATAAAATTTTTGCAGCATATTTAGAATAAGAGGTTAATATGCAGCATATCAAGAAATAATACATCTATATAACAAAAGAACAAAAAATCCCTTATTTTAAAGTGAGAAAAAGGTCTAAATATAACATGATAAAAATATATTGTATGTATTTTATCATATGAAATGTATTATAGTAAATATGTATTATAGTACATATAAAAATGTATTATAGTAAAAATATGTATTAAAATACATAAATAAAAAAATGTATTACATTAAAAAACATACTGCCACTATGGTCATATGAAATACTCCTCATCAGTCTTCTAAGGTTCTCAGCTGAGACTAAGACCATCAGATTTTCTAGGTCTCCAGCTTGCATAAGACAAATCATGGGCTTGTCAAACTGCATAATTATTTATTAAAGATTATGTTTTATTGGTAAAGAAATGGTGAAGTAGATATTAGTAGCAAAATACAGCCTCTTTGGAACATGGAATTCAGACACCTCAAAAATAACAATTTGATGCAGAGAAAAAAGCAGTAGATTTCTGGGAATTAGGAGAGGACTTGGAGGAAAATTAGGAACTACAGAGAAGATGGAGAAGCAGGGCACAATGCAGAGAAAAGAAAAAAAACCTGTCTAGAAGCTCACCCCAGCTCCTGGGGAGAGAAATATGTCTCTTCAGACAAAAAATAAGCCCCAAGGGTCAGGAGTTTGGGAAGAAACAATGGACCTGGCTAGCAGCACTTGTTCCAGAAAAACCTATGGCTATTGCAAAGTACAAAAGCAACGTGAGGTTTTAATCCAATAGTGACTCCTTCAGCAAAGCAGACTTGAGTAGGAAAAGAAACCCAGTGCAGCACCCACCATATCGCCAGAGTGTTTAACTAGGAGACATTTTATTTAAGGATTCACTTATTTAAGGATAAAGTTAAGACCAAGCCACAGAATAACTACAAAATAACCTCACTTCAGGGTTCTCAATGTTGCTCTCCCACAGTGACTGGGTGAAAGACACCCATGGAAGAGAGTTGCAGAGATAATGCTGGATAGATATACAACCTCTGACAAGCTTAAACTCATGCTGTGAAGAACATGAGGCTCTGCCCTCCATGGAGAGAAGCCAGACCCAGCTTGTGTCTCTTTCAGAGGCAGATGGATCTGAAAGTGTTGACATTAAGTACAGAAATCTGCTTAATCACTTCTTAGCCTTTTGGCTAAGATCAAGTGTAGTATCTGTTCTTACCTGATACTGCTTGAACTCTCACCTTGCTGCTTAAATCCAGCACAGATCAGATGTTTGACTGCTTTCTCCATCTACCAGTGTGACCAGGGACACACTTAGGCTTGGATAGTTGCCACAGATTGGAGTGAATGAACTAAAGGACCTCTTGAACAAGGGAGAACCTCACAAACCCATAAACCATGAAGCTCAATTGAGAAAACAGGGACTTTCTGGATTCCAAAATTGTGGGTCCTTGAAAGAAGTCACACATTCAAAACTACATGGAAATTTCTTTTGGACTCATTGCTCTTTTTCCCCCTCTCTTAAAAAATTTTTGTGGGGTTGGCATTTTTCCAATTTTCCTTTTAACTTTTTCTTTTTCAATTTTTTTCTATTTGATTTCTTTCTCTCATTGTTCTTTTTCTTTACCTTTATCTAATTCTATTAATTTCCTTTTTATCCTTAATAAGATTCTTATCTCACTTTTCTCTCCCCCTCATCTGCCATTGCTTAACTTTTCAAATTTTTGTTCTTTCATTTTCCCATTTTCCACCCTCTCTATCTTCACTAGTATAAAGACTAATCTTTATTAATCTTTAGAGAGTTAGTTAACTCTAATGTATTGCTGTTGAAATATTTTCTATTGTTAGTTGAAGTACAGTCATTGCATTTATTAGATAGTTACTTAATATCAGTATTTGATTTCTCTTCATGTTTATATTAATAGTTATACATCTTTTTTCTATGGTCAGTGGTGGTAAATCATTAGTTCTTATGGAATGTTAATATTCCATTTGTCTTTGATGCTATTATTTCGGCTAATTTAGTTCCTAACTA